ACCAATGAGAAGCACGCGTTGGACGGAAAGCGTGCTTCTCATTGGTCTCTCTAGTTGGTAGTTCAATGTCCACTTTCCAGAGGCGCTGAAACCAGCTCAATCGCCATCGCAGCTAAATCGCGGGTATGACCGCTCTTAGGATCCTTTCTGGCACCGGTAAAAGTTTTGATCTCCCCGTATACTAGCGCCAATTGCATCCACCTTGAGATGAAACATTGTCATTGGCTGTGTATGTACGTAGTTCCATCTCAAAGGTTGATGCAATTAGCGCTAGTGTACGGGGAGGTCAAAACTTTTCGCTCTCATGCTTCTCTCTGGCATATGCTTTATTAAGCCGAGAGCACAGACTTTTGCATAACGCTGCATAACGCACAAGACATAAAGCATAAGAAAATCAACCAATCAGAATATGAAATGAAGGACTCTGATTGGTTTATTCTCTTAGGGGCTTTCTACAATAAGCCGTTAATCACTATTCATATCATACTAACTAAGAATTGACCAATCATAGTCAAATATTTTTCTTACATTCAACTGTAATTGGCCAATTCTTACGATTTACGGCTTACGATCTGACATACGACGTATTGTAGACAGCCCCTTATGCTTCGCGTCTTATGCGTTATGCAGTGTTAAGATCTATCTACAATGAGAGTAATAAGCCGTAAGCCGTAAGAAATTGAGCAATCACAGTTAAATATGAGAAGAATAATTGACTGTGATTGGTCAATTTCTTACGGCTTACGACTTACTACTCTCATTGTAGATGTATCTTTATGCAAAAGTCTGTGTCTCAGCCTTTATGCATTTCATGTGCTCCGAAACTTAATCAACCAAAATATCCTATTTTATTGCGTTATTTGCCGCATACGATGCATCGATTAGGTTGCTCGATATTCTAGAGATAAAAGAATCTTTCTTTGCATAAATTTCTGGATCGCGTGGCAAATTACACAATAAAATAGGATGTTTTGATTGGTCAATTCGGATGACGCGCGCGTGACGCGCTCAGTGGAAACGCACCCTAATCCTATTTCGTGACCGATAATACCCAAAATATCCAGATTACTCTGTGGCGCTGCTGAGGTTCGTCTTCGTTCTACCGCCATCATCAGTCACGAAAAGCCACACACAGTGAGGGAAGTTGATTTACATTAGTGTTTCTCTTCCGTACCAGTTACGTTCTATCGCAAGCCGTACAAATGAAGATGGTGGATAAAATTGAAATGAGTCTGGACGATATTATCAAACAGACCAAAGGATCTAGAGCGCGTGGCGGCGGCGGCGGCAGCGGCGGTAGACGCGGCAGAGGCGCCGGCAGTTCACCCCGTCGAGGAGCACGTAGGGTACAGAGAGCTAGTGGCGGCGTTATGCGAGGACGCAATCGCGGTGGTATTGCACGCAGCTCTCTACCATACACGAGAGTAAGATATTGAGCCCGTCATCGAATTTTGCTATAAATTCTTTCATTGTACACAATTTGCTCCTTTTATACGGCGTACGCATATGTGTATGTATTGGGAGAAGAATACCTACTTGCGTGTATGTGTGTATGTATGTATGTATGTGTGTACGCTGTGAAACGTTAAACATGGAGTAACTCTAAAATGCTTACCTCTTTCTTTACATGATCATTTATTCGAAAGATGATATAAATGGTCATGAAATGATAATAAATGGTCCATGAAAATATTTGTCAGGTTTTTTTCCATCTTTTATCATTTTTATTTATTACATATAGTTATTATATTTTCTCTTCGCTTTATGTACTTAACATATTTTTCATAATTTGAACATAAGTTATTTTTAATGAATTAAATATTTAATAAATTAAGTAGTACACTTTTTTACTACGTTGTAATTTCCAGTAAGAAAATATATAACAGTGCGGTTAAATTGGTTAAAGCTTGTATCTATAAATTATAGTTTGCATTGCTTATAATGTACTGATGATTACTTATTATGTAATGAAAGATTTTTTTTATTGATCTAACAGGAAGACATTGTATTATTAATTGACGAAAATTGACAAAATAACAATTATTCTTTTTATGAAGTATATAATATTTTTCGAATTAATAATTTTTATTTTATTGTACAGGGCGATGTAAACAGTGCTTGGAAACATGACATGTTCGATGGTGTAAAAAAGGTTGGTCGTGGTGCAATAGGCAATGCTGGAACGACCAAACTTTTGGTATCAAATCTTGATTTTGGTGTATCAGATTCAGACATACAGGTATTAAAATATCATATATAAAATAATTTTTTAACAATGTTTAACATGTTGAGCACTATATAATTTAAAATAAAATTATCATATCAAAGAATTATTTCCTTTTTCGAATTTTTAATTGTCTATATAAGGATTTCTTAATATAATATTTTTAAATAGTAATATCTAATAAGTAATAGAAATATGTTTTTGGTCTTCTAAATCAATAGTGCATGATAGAATTAAACAGCTGGCCAGTAAAGATAAAAGAAATTTATTTACATACTGTCATGTGATGTTAAGGATGTTTAATACGTACAATAGTAGCAAAAAGTTAAAGGACTGATTTTGACGAATATGCTCTTCTCATGTAGTTTGAGTAATAAGGATTGTGCAGAATGTTATCATTTATTCAGAATTAGAGCACAGAAATGCTTCTGTTGCTTTTTTCCTGAGAATTTTTGAATTCTATGGCCAAATCTAACCAAAAAATTCAAATTAAAATCCTTATAACTTTGGATTGCTTCAGTAAATCGACTCCGGCTTTTGTCTTAAGTCTTTCAACATATATAAGAACAATCTGTAAAATTTTA